TGGCGGCTGACGACGATGGTGACGACGATGGCGATGATGATGATGCAGCAGCCGCTGGTGGCGGGCCGCTTGGTTTCGATGGTGTCAGCGGCATGCGCGCACCAACAGCCTTCGTCACCTCCTCCTGATGGCGCGTACGAAAGGGAGAAGGAGATGGAGAGAGAGAGAGAGAGAGAGAGAGAGAGAGAGAGAGAGAGAGAGAGAGAGAGAGAGAGAGAGAGAGAGAGAGAGAGTGTGTGTGTGTGTGTGTGTGTGTGAGTGTGTGTGCAGTGTTGTGTGCGTGCGGTTTTGTATGTGAGAGAGTGCGTGTGCAAGTGAGTGCGTATTTGTGTGCAAGCGAGTGAGTGTGTTGTCAACAGCGTATCCTGACGGTCGCAGATCAAGGCGCCACACCACATGACACCACGTGGTATCGCATGAGCGGCGCACTGCATGGTTCAATGGGCAAATACCGGTGCGTGGAGGGCAAGGACGGGCGCGGTCGTCTGCGACGACGACACGGACTGATGCAAGAGGGGTGGGGGATAGAAGGGGTGAATGGAGAAAGGGTTTCATGGTGAATCACGGTTTTCGCAAAGCACAAGAACAAGGAGGGAGCTCAACAAGGCTTCCATGCGATTCTCTCTCACTCTCTCACTCTCACACACAAACACACACACACACACACGCAAAAGGCATGGTGCCAACCCACGGATTGCCTTGCACTACCTTGCATGAGAGGCAGGAGACAATGTCGGTGGTGGCGACACAGAACTGCTCCTTGAACGACGGCACGTCGCCGGGGCTGTAGTCGAACACGTGCACAGAGACAAGGAGAATGGTGGCGAGGAGAAAGAGGAGGAGAGAGAAGCAAGTTCGCGTGAGTACGTTGTGGGTACGTGAGACAGAGAGATGTGAACACGATCAAACCAACACCGACCACAGTCTTTCCACACACCCATGCCATGCCATGCCAGCACCACAACCCTTATGCACTCTCTCCTCTGTGAGTGTGATGCGCATGATGATGATGATGATGATGATGATGATGATGATGATGATGATGATGATGACTGGTGTGCTCACGTGTCTGGGGACGAGCGGCGGTGCTGATCCTTGGGCGTCAGCATCGCGGGCGGCACAGACACGTCCTCCACTGGAGAGGTTGGCGGGGGAGGGGAGGGAGGGGGCAGTGGGGCCATGGCGTGAACGAAGCATGGTGGGCGAGGAGGGTGTGCAGAACAAGGAACGTTACAGAGGTAGGAATCACGCATGTTTGAGTCAACACGAGCATCCACACACACACACACACACACACACACGCACACACACACGCGCTCAAACACACACACACACACACACACACACACAACATCACCCTCCACCCTGACATCTCTCATCACGACTCCAATTGCGCTCACGTTGGCTGAAGATGAACGTGAGCCAGGAGCGGATGGTGGAATGAATGTCCTCTTTTCCACCGCCGCTGCTGTTGGGCACAAGGAGCGGCAGGTTCTTCGCCTCAACAGATGTCCGCACGCACCGCAGGAAGTTGGTGGCCTGGCACCAGAGATGTGCGTGCGTGCATGTGGGTGTGTGGGTGTGTGCGTGCGTGCGTGCATGTGTGTGTGTGTGTGTGAGGGGAGAGGAGAGACGAGATGGAGGTCGTTGGGATGTGGGTGCAGGAGGGCAAAGGTGTTGGTGAGGGTTGCATGACCGCAATTAAGAGGGAAGAAGTACAGGAAACCAAGCAAGAGTACGTAAAGCGAGCGCACCTGACACGTCTTTGCTATCTTGGACATCATCTGGAAGAGAAATCCCAGCTCGCACGCAACGCAGTTCTCCTAGATACACAGACACACACATGTTTGCGTGAGCACGTTATGTGAGGACTGGAAGGAAACATTGCAGCAGCTATTCGCGGCACACGCTGCCGAAGGCAGCCCAGTCAGGCGTCCCTCACTCCTTCAAGCAAGCAAGCAAGCAAGCAAGCAAGCAAGCAAGCAAGCAAGCAAGCAAGCAAGCAAGCAAGCAAGCAAACAAGCAAGCAAACAAGCAAGCAAGCAAGCAAGCAAGCAAGCAAGCAAGCAAGCAAACAAACAAAACACAACACACCCCGGCTATGAACACGTTTGCACGCCACCTTATCACAGTGGTGCTGGACGCAGAGGGCGCGGAGCGGGGCGTTGAAGTAAAGGGCCTGCAGGAGGGCATTGCAGTAGGAGTTGGGCACATCGGGCTCAAGCCCGCAATGCGGGGTTCCGTTGTACTTCTCAAAATCAAACCCATCCAGCCCGCGCAGCGTGTACTGCAGTGGTCGTGGCGATGATGATGATGATGATGGTGGTGATGGTGTTGAATAGGAGGGACTCGTAAGGAACAAAGCAAGACGTAAGGGAATGCAGTGCGCATGCGTATGTGTTTTGTGTAAGATACCCGGCCGCAAATACAACATGGAGGCACTTGTGGGCGAACCTTGATGTCGCATTTCCTGTACTGCAGCGGAACAACAGAGTTGCGCTCTGTGAACAGCAGTACAGGCGGACACGTGGGCAGTCGGTGGCGATGTTGGGAGTGAAGGATGATGATGCAGCAAGAAGGGAGAACATTTCATGAGAAACACGAACCGTAACTATCACAGACACAGAACATCAACACCACCACCACCACCATCATCATCTACAGCACCGTCACCACCACCACCACCACCACCACCATCATCATCATCATCTACAGCACCGTCTGCGCGCGTGTGGTCGTCGTATGTCGATCGCCCGTGGTGGTGGCGGTATCCGCGCGGCCGCCGCAGGAACTTGGACGCGTACTGCACCTGATGGCGCAATCGTGGTTGGTAGTGTCATGGCGGTGGTTGGTAGTTGGGAGTTGGTAGTTGGTAGTTGAGTTGAGTGGAGTGGAGTGAATGAGTGTGTGTATGTGTGAGTGAGTGAGTGTGTGTGTATGTGTGTGTGTGTGTGAGTGAGTGAGTGAGTGAGTGAGTGTGTGTGTGTGTGTGTGTGAGTGGGCGTGTGCGTGCGTGCCAAAGTTGTATGTGGGCAGTAGGCTCCTACAGCCCCCAAAGTCAACCATTATCACCACCAGCACTGACCTGGTTAACTCTCCAGTTGAGCAGGTTTGGAGCATATCCAATCATCTGGCCCTGCACCTGCCCATGCTGGCGACGATGATGGTGGTAGTGGTGGTGATTGTTGGGTTGTTGGTCATGCGGTGTGATCATGTGATGTCGTGGTGCGATGTCGATAACAACATGAGGTGACATGTTGAGCATGCATGATACAGCACGGCGACACGAAAAAACACGCGTGCAACCACACTCACAACAGCACCATGACTTGCATTTGCTTCCTTCCAAACACACACACACACCCACACACACACACATCCACACCCACACACCCACACACCCACCCACCCACACACACACACACACACACACACACACATCCACACACACACACACACACACACACACACACACACATGACCCACCCCCCTCCCGCCTCCGGGGCGCAATCAAAACGCACCCCCAGTCGCAGGTTTGCCTGGATTTCTTCTGGAACAGGAATGGGCGGACGCGAAAAGCGCTGTGTTTCAAACTCCCATTCAGAGAGCGCCGTGCTCTGCACCAGCATGAACCCAAGGCTCTAGCAAACCACGGATGGAACACGGGTGGTGAAAGGGGGGTGTGTGGGTAATGGAGGTTGTGTGGACATTTGTGATTGTTACGTGCATGTGTGCATGTGTGCATGTGCCATGTGCGATGTGGTGTGAGAGGGGGAATTCATGGTTGCGCGCGCGTGTGTGCTTGTATGGGCGGGAGAGACGTGAGCCAAACAGGCAAGTCCATGCAGCGAGCCACGGCAAACAAACACATGCCACCACGAGCGCACAATCACGACCGTGTGCACCTTTGAGTAGTCGTCGATGGCGATGTTCGTGTGCGCCTGAAGGTCATTGCGATCCACTGGCGCCGATGACGGTGATGATGGTGGTGGTGATAATGATGGTGGTGGTGTTGACATGGCAGCGTTGGGTTCGCGGTGAAGGTGTCAGTGAACACGCGTGAGCTGGTTCGATGAGTTACAAAGCACACACACACACACACACACACACATAGACAACCCGCTGCCCCTCTGCACCACCACCACGATGACCACCAGCACCACCAGCACCACCAGCAACAGCAGCAGTAGCAGCAGGTGGTGACGTACGGAGCTGGAGGGCCATTGCCGGGGCGAGCGAGACGACAGGGTGCGGCGTGGTCGCAATGACGTGCACAGACCCGCCGCTGTCCGCAACACAAATAATCTGGAGCCAAAGGTGGCAATGATCATTGGTGGTGATGCCATTGGTTGTGGCAATGGTGGCCATTGGTGGTTCAAAAGGACGATAAGTTGGTTTGATGGCAGTGTAGATGGATGTTCAAGGTGTGACCGCACGTCAACAGCGCGTGTGTATCACGGCTGCTGCTGTCATGGTGGTCGTGGTGTGTGTGTGCGTGTGTGTGTGTATGTGTGCGTGTGTGTGTGTGTGTGTGTGTGTGGTGTGTGTGTGTGTGTGTGTGTGTGTGTGTGTGTGTGTGTGTGTGTGTGTGTGTGTGTGTGTGTGTGTGCCTCACCTGTCCCGATGGGGCGACCGCAACGCCTGTGCACCGGGTGTGAGGCATGTTGAGGGGAACGCGTGCACGCACGGCCCCACCGCCACCCCCATCCACCCCGCCAATGACGAGGTGGTGGTGCGCATTGACGGTGATGACCTGCGGCGGTGGCGGTGGCGGTGCTGACGGCAGCGCTTCCTGTGGCCGCACCAGCGCCGCGTGCGTGGCGGGCGGGCCGCGTTGCTGGTGGTGGTGGTGGTGGTGTGGTGTGATGTTAGTGTGGTGGTGGTGGTGGTGTGGGGTGGATGGATGTCAGTGTTTGTTGTTGATTGTGGTGATGAGCCGATACAGTTGAGCTTGTTGCACGAGCAGTGACAGTGTACGCACACGCACACACACTCACACGCACGCACACGCACATGCACACACACACACACACACACACACACACACACACACACAAATACGTACAATCATTGGGTGCCTGGCGTGTTTGTGCTTCACGTCGTACACGCGGACAATGGGGTCGATTTGCCTGCAAGCAACACAACGGCCGTGGCATGCAGTCAACACTTGCCCGCACGCAAACAGATACACGAACAAACAAACAAACAAACAAACAAACAAACAAACAAACAAACAAACAAACAAACAAACAAACAAACAAACAAACAAACAAACAAACAAACAAACAACCACACAAACAGGTGTGCACGCACCCGTCTTTATCTCTGCCAATGGCGAGGAGGATGTTGCCTGCGGACGCCAGGGATTCCACACCGCCCTTAAACGCGTCAAACACGCATACCTCCACCAGCAGCCGGCGGTCGAGCAGCACAACTTTGCCCGCCCGCGTGCCCGCCGCTACAAACCGGTTGGCACACCTGCATCGCGCGCGCCCGGGGGGGGGGGGTTGCATTCAGGTGTGAGAGAGTGGGTGGCGGGGCACACACAGGAGCACCACGTACGAAAGTACACACTGACACATACACTCACACACACATCACATCACATCACATCTCACATCACATCACATCACACATCACACATCACACATCACATTCACATTCACACACATTCACACACACACACACACCCTCTCATACCTGAGGCAGTTGACAGCGCCGTAATCGAGCTCAACCTGCATGGAGACGGTGCCCTGTGCCGCGTCAACCTTCACCACTGTCCCGCCCTCCGTGCCGACGAACATGTTCAGCTGCCAGCCGCACAAACAATGGTGGTAACAGCGACAGTACGCACACGCAATCGTAGACGTAGTGTTGACAGTGGCAGTCACAGTGGTGGTAGTGGTAGTGGTATTGGTGGGTGCAACAGTGGTGAATGTGAAATGTGAATGCATGCACGCAACGAGTAGGTCAGGAGAAGCAATGCGTGTGCGTGCGTGCGTGTATGCATGCAGATCTTGCATGTGATTTCTGACAGCCGCCATTTCTCTCACCGTTCGTGGGGCATCGGTTGCACACGTGATGTTTCGCAGCATGGAGCTCCTTTAAGAGAGGGCATGGTAGTATGGCGTGTGCGTATGGGTAAATGTGTGTGCGTGTCAGCATGTGTGGGAGAGTGTGAATGTGTGTGAGACAAAGACAGCCAAGTGCACCGCTCCTACGAATTTCATCCAATCCCCGTTTTCCCTCCCAAACACGCACACACACACGCACACGCACACACACACACACATACACACCGCATTCTCAACGTACGAGATGGACTGGAGAAGAAGGCTGCCTTGTTGGTGCACGTCAATCGCGGATGTGCGAACTACACACACCACGCTTCCTTTGGGCACCAGCTGCGGTTGTTGGTGTTGTCATCAACATGGACATGCAAGCACGCAGGGTTGTAGATAACGTGCGTGTAAGAAGCGTGAACACTCACACAATGAATGCCGTTCACACCTCCAAGGTATGCAGTGCAGGTAGAATGCAGGCGGTTACAAGACACCGCCAACGCCAACACCAATACCACCGCTAACGCCAACGCCAACGCCAGCGCCACAACTCACGTCCACAATCTCATCCTCGACGGAGAGGTGCCACGCAGAAAACTTGAGCCCGTAGGGCAGCTCATACGATGCGATGTATCCCTGAAAAGCACAGAGACCATGCATGTGAGGGATGCCCGTCTCGATCAGTCGAACGAATACAACGAGGATCACACTGCCAGCACACGCAGGCCCATGTCGACGGTTGCAGGAAAAGTCACGCAACAGGCGCCATCTCAGCTGTGACGAAGATGACACGCTCGTCTGCTCGCCTACGCCTTCGTACCTCCCTGGACACGACCCAATACAGTGTGGAGGCTTCATCAAAGGCCGCAGCCACAATGGGCAGGGTCCGAGGCGAATGCGCCAGCTTCAGTATGGGGTGTGGGATGCGCGTTTGCGAATGGGTGCTGTGAGGGTGATGGACAACATCCACAAACTCTGCTGACAACAAAAGCAAACAAACAAACAAACAAACAAACAAACAAACAAGACAAGCAGCAACATTGTGCGTCCGTGTGTCTGTCTGTGCCTTCAACCACAGCCAGGATCACAACCGCAGCCACACCCGCAGCCACGGTCATGACCACGAACACAAACACGGGCCAGTGCAGCCGCACCAACCAACCCACCAAGTTGATTTGCTGCGGCACAACCGCCATATCGCTTGGTTCTTCCTGTTCTGCTTCAGTGCGGAAAATTACATGAAGTTATGGCCATTCTTCACAACAGCACAGGACCGGAAAGAAGGAAAAGGTCTTGCTTGTAAATGAGCCAACAGCAGGCAGCCCGGACGACAGTGTGCATCCACCCACCCACGCACTCACCCACGCACGAGGAGCAAAGGACACACCCAACACCCCACGCCCAACACGTACGCACGCATGCGGGGTCGCGTGCAGCAGCCACTGCTGCTGCTGCTGCTGCAAATAGCGGTGATAGCAGTGGCAGCTGCCGCTTGTTGTGTGCCCGGTGTCCAGGCACTGGGCACGAAAGGTCCGTCGCCCGCGGTTGCATTCATGTTCAACACTGGCTCGGACACGGACGCCATCACTGGCCTCGGCGGCACTTACAGCGGCCAGGCGCAGCTCGGCCATGGCGGCATCCACTTCACGGCGTCCGGCGAGGACTATTTTACCTCAGGTGCGAAGAAGCAGTTGCAGACAGGAAGAGAAGGAAGTTGTCATGCGCGTACATGTGTGCGTATGATTGTGTACGCGTGTGCAGTTGTGTATATGCAGAAATGTACGCCAATCTCGGCTTCAAACGCGGTCACATCACGCAACGTCTCCATCAAACTGCGTGGTGGTGTATTCCTTTGGCAGATGTGCTGCCGTTTGACATGCCGGCTGAAAAGACCCTGGAAGTGTGGGTCAGGCTGGACGACCTCAACCAGCGGGCCGGCGGCGCCCTGTCAGTGCAGTCTGCAGACGGCTCACGCTACGACGGGTACGTACACGTGTGTGTTTATTTGAGTGGAGGAGGCAAGGAGTTGCTGCTGCTGTGTGCGGGATGCTGTGTGAGGGCTGCTGTGTGAGGCATGCTCACTGCTCGCGCAGGCTGTGAACATTGTTGCTCTTCTGCACGTGTGGCCGTGAACTTGTCCTCAACCGATGCGTTTTGCGGGCGTGCTTGCGTTGCACCTGTAGCATCGTGTATGCTGAGCTGGCTCCCTTTATCTGGGAAACCGGCAGCGAATGGGGCGAGCGCTCCCTTGACGTACGTGAACAAGAGATCATTTCGTGTGTGCGTGTGCGTGCGTGTGCGTGCGTGTGTGCGTGCGTGTGCGCAGGTGTCGTTGTTCAAGTGCTCACATCCTTCCTCATCCGTCATGACGTCGTTACAACATCACACACACAACGCACAACGCACACGTGTCCACGTCTGTCGTGTTGACCAACAGGCTGGGGAGGTTCCGTCTCCACCAGAGCGGGCGGCAGCCGGTGCACACGTGCACATTGTGGCAACATACAGCGCCGATGGCTACATCACGGTAATCGTTACGGTGCTTGTGTGTGTGTGTGTGTTTGTGTGGAGGGGGGCGGTGTACATGATTTGCGTACCTGTCTTCTCCTCCGTGTGTGTACGTGTGGGCAAATGAGTGTTCTATGTGGCGTGGACGTGTGTGAGCGTGCCATGTGCACATGTGCGTGTATGTGTGTGTGTGTGTGTGTGTGTGCTGCTTGCTGTTGCTGCGCTCTGGTCGTGCTGATAGCTGTATGCATCAACCCATCGTCACTCGCCGTTTTGTTGTCTCGTTGACAGATTTACCGCAACGGCCGCGTGTACGTGCCACGCTACAGGAAGGGTGAGGCAACACACGTGTGACATAACGTGTCTTGTGCGTCTTGCTGTTTGAACAACGGATTTGACGTGTTGATCATGAAAGCGGGTTTCCTGAGAATGATGCAATGCCATGGCGTTTTCACTCTCGCATTCACTCATTCACTCATGTTCAAGAAACGCTCCACCAGCCCCACCCCTCTGCCCTCACTCATCAAACGCCAACACACCAACGTCACCATGCCGACCACACCACAACGCAACACCATCCACCACCAACCAGCGCCTGCTGCGGCCTTTGACAAGTCGGACGCCCGCATCACGCTCGGCGCGCGCCACGTGCAGTTTGGTGCGTTGCCATGGCGTAAACGTGTCAACCAGGCTTTGGGGTGGTGTGGTGTGCGAATGTTCGTGTGTGTGAATGTGTGTGTGTGTGTATGTGTGCGTGTGTGCGAATGTATGTGTGTGTGTGAGTGTAATTGTGTTAGCTCTGTACACAACTGAAGGGCGGGGGGAGGCATGAGAGGGGTGAGAGGGGTTGACTGTGGTATGATGAGTCACATTGTGTAGCCAGGTATGAGGCCAGCGGCACACACACACACACACACACACACACACACACACACACACACACACACACACACACACACACACACACACACACACACGCACTGCTGTTGTGACGAATTTCACATCGCTGCTCAACGCCGTTGCCATTACAGGCCAGCAAGTGTGGGGGCAGCTGAAGGGGCATGTGGAGTGCGCGCGTGTGTACACGTCCACCCTGACGCAAGAGCAGATCCAGCAGTCCTTCTCAACACGCTGCCACAGAGGTACAAATGTGTGTGTGGGTGTGTGTGTGTTGCAGATGTGCGTTGCAGTGTGTGCATGTGTTTGTGTTGCAGTGTGAATGTGTGCATGTGTTTGTGTTGCAGTGTGAGTGTGTGCATGTGTTTGTGTTGCAGTGTGAGTGTGTACATGTGTTTGTATTGCGGTGTGTTGCAGTGTGTGTGTGTAGTGGCATGTGCGTATCATGACGCTTGGTGATGAATCACACCGAGTTGTTTAGCCATTTACTCTTGCACTTACACCAACTCTTGTTCTCAAACACACATGCGCACACGCATGCACATAGTGAATCCATTTGACTTTGTGGAGGCTGGTACGTTTGAAGGGCTGGCGCCCACGAACGTCACCTCCACCCCGGCCGTCACACCCTGGTCGAAAGTTTCCCCATTTGGAAAGTGGAGCGCTCTCTGGACGGACGGCAGCGCCGGTCTTCCCGCCCTCGTCGTCAACACCCCAGCCCAGTTTGCGCAGGTCTGCTGTGTGGTTTGTGCACGCGTAGCTGTGTATTTGTGTGCACGCGTGTGTGTTTGTAGTTGTTTGTGTTTGTGTGCATGTTTTGTTGCGTTGTGTGGTGACTCTTTGTGGGTGCTTCGACAACAACAGTCATCCCACCACTCGCCCCCACTCACCTACCACCACCACCACCATCATCATCATCATCATCATCATCATCATCATCATCATCATCATCATCATCATCATCACAACAACGATGCCACTGCAGGGCGTGACGGCGGCTGCGCTGCACGTGCCTTGCTCCTCGCCCGGATTCTCTGGAATCAAGCAGACAATCGCCACAGAACGTGGGCACACGCACACACACACACGCACACACACGCAGCTGTGTTTGGGGTGATGTGGGAGCTGATTGTGTATTGTAGTGTGAGAAGGGGTTCCTTCCTTGTCTTGTTTCATCGTTGTACTCCACTGCACAATCACCACCACCACCATGACCACCATGCCCAACTCACCACCATTACCACCACGACCATTACCACCACGACCATTACCATGGCCGCACCACCAAATCATCACGTGAGCAGCCGGCCACCGCTACTCGCTGTCGTTCATCGCCGCCGTTGACGCTGCGGATATGAGCACGAGCATTCAGTCCGCGTTCCAGCAGTACGCGATCGTCACAGCAGGCAGCATGCGACAGGGTGCGGTGCACGTGTGTGTGTGTTTGGGTTTGTGCGTGTGTGTGCGTGTGTGCGTGTGTGCGTGCGTGTGCACGTATGTGTGTGTGTGCGTGTGTGTGTGCGCACATATATGTGTGTGTGTGTGGCGTCATGTAGTGACGTGAGTTGTATGTCTATTGCATCGCCCCTGACACCGCGCGGAGGTGCACCACCCCATGAATTTGTTTCCACACCACCACCACCATCATCCCCATCATCCCCATCATCCCCATCATCACCATCATCACCATCATCACCATCATCCCCATCATCACCATCATCACCATCATCACCATCATCACCATCATCACCATCATCACCATCTCGTGGCCACCACCTCCCACCATTCATGCCATTGCCTGCCCGTGTCTCGTGCAGTGTTTCGCCCCACGTACTCTGCTGTGGGCGGCCGGGCGTCGTGGTCGCGCTTTCGCTTCACGTTCGATGCGACGGACACGACCACGCACGTCGCCTTTCACGCCGAGCAGGCAAACTGCATCATGGTACGCTGCTCCGTGTGTGTGTGTTTGTGTGTGCGTGTGTGTGTGTGTGTGTGTGTGCGTGTGTGTGCGTGTGTGCGTGTGTGTGTGTGTGTGTTGTGTGTTGTGAATATATGCTTGGGAGTGCGGGAGTGTGTGCATGACCGAAACTTGTGTCCTCATCCACTGTTGAGAGAACCGTTTCGAGTTACTGTGCGTCCGTGATTGCCAACCGTTTGCTCTCCCATTCATGCTAGCAAATGGCCCCACAACACACACACACACTCACTCACTCACACACACACACACACACACACACACACACACACACACACACACACACACACACACACACACACACACACACACACACACACACACACACACACACACACACACTCTCTCTCTCTCTCTCTCTCTCTCTTGCCAGGTGGACAATGTGCGTGTCGTGCAGGTGTTTGACGGCGACAACCTTGTTCTTGACGGCGGATTCGAGGAGGCCGCAGTCGAGGTGAGGGAGAACGTGGCTCGGGGGTCGCTGTCGATTTGACGTGCAGATGGTGATGCTGTTGTTGTCACTGTGGCATTTGTGAGTGAAGTTCGTGTTGTTGTCTCTGTTTTGTTGTGTTGTTGTTTAGTTGTTATGCACACCTTGTTGAATCATGTGCGCCTGCTTAGCAAGCTTCTGTCTTTCCTACTGCTCACCACGCCCGTGTTCTTCCCGTTCTTTCTTCTTGTCTTCTTTTTCCTCTGCCCCTTCCCCCCCTTCCTTTTTGCTGTCCCACTCTCCCCCCTTTCCTTCTCCCACATCACCAGCTCGGTGTCCCTTACGAGAGTCTCGATGCCACCGACGCCTCCTCTGACGCAACTCCGGGCCAGGCGCTCGCCCACTGGACGGTTTCTCCGGTACGCGCGCAAGCCACGTGTTGATGCCACGGCATCAGACAACCAGAAACAAACCCCAAGCGCACGCTCATCCTCGTTTCTTCTTCCTGTCACTTATCTTACATCTCATTCCGCCGCTGCCACCACCACCGCCACCACCATCATCACAATCACCACATTCAACCATCACACCCCCATTCGCTCCGCTCTCGTTGTCACGCATTCTCTCACCCCAAATCCATCACCGCAATCAACCACCACCACCACCACCACCACCACCACCACTGCCATCATTACTACCATCACCACCAGTCCTCCGGCTCCAAGCCAGCTGTCCTTCGGCCGTCCATTCCGTTTGGGACATCGTCTTGGGCACTCTCCCTCCATGGACAAGCCTGCACTGCCTCGCAGTTTGCCGAAGTGTTTCAGGTCATCCCAACTATGCCAGGCGCCACATACGCCGTTTCGTTCGGCATCATGAACAGGCGCGTGGTGGACAACATGTCCGCTAACACATCTACGGCGTCCATTTCCGTTTCGTTTGGGAGTCTGAGCCAGGCCCAATTCTTCACGCGGCGTGGACAGGCACACGGCCACTTCACAACCAGAGCAACAGCCACCACACACGCAACCACGTGCGTTGAGTCGGGAACATGTCCACGGCAGTGAATGTGAATGCAAGGGGTGATGTGCTCGTGTGTGTGTGTGTGTGTGTGTGTGTGTGTGTGTGTGTGTGTGTGTGTGTGTGTGTGTGTGAACGTGGATACATGCTTGCAAACCGCCCGTTGCTGACGCACACGCCTCTCACTTCGCTCTGATTCACATCAAATCACAACCACAATCACCACATTACTCACTCGCTCACTCTATCACGCGATAGGCTGCGGCTCGCGGCCCCAGCGTCGTCGTGTGTTCTCGTGGATTACGTGCACATCCGCCCGCTCACCGCCGCGCCTGTCAACATGGTCTCTGGCGGCGACTTTGAGGTGAGCAGATGCAATGATGGTGGTGATGGTGATGGGTATGGTGGTGATGGTGGTGATGGTGATGGTGATGGGTATGGTGGTGATGGTGATGATGATAATGGTAATGGTGGTGGTGATGGTGGTGGTGGTGATGGTGGCGGTGATGATGGTGATGATGATGATGATGATGATAATGATGGTGATGATGATGATGATGATGGTGATGATGATGATGATGATGGTGGTGGTGGTGATGATGATGATGGTGGTGGTGGTAATGATGATGATGATGATGATGATGATGATGATGATGATGATGATGATGATGATGATGATGATGATGCTTTGCTGCTACAATCGTTTTGCCCTCGACGTGACCCCGTCGTGATTGCATTCATCCTCACCACCTTTTACTTCCACCCAACCTTCCCCCTCCCCCACCTTCAACGCCCCCGGCCCTCTCTCTCCAACCTCGCCGCAGGTGCCTGCACTCCCCATCGGCGATGATGGAACCACGCGCCAGCAGCAGCAGGAGACGACATCGCCCCTCCCGCCCGATTCCCAGTGGTCGTCTGATCGCGGTGTCATTACCGGTCCGACGAGCAGTGGTGGCGGCGCCGCTGTTGGCGCACAGAACTACCGTCTGCAGCAGCTGTGCACCACAGCAGGGACCATCAAGCAGGTTCACGCATTCGTTTGTGTGTGTGTTGCGTGTATGTGTGTTGCGTATTGCGTGTGTGTATGTGTGTTGTGTTTGTGTGTGTGTGTGTGTGTGTGTGTGTGTGTGTGTGTGTGTGTGTGTGTGTGTGTGTGTGTGTGTGTGTGTGTTGTGTGATATGTGGGAGTGCCTTCCTCGCACGCCATCCTTCTTTGAACATTCAACCATCACCGCCACCACCACCACCACCACCACCATCATCATCATCATCATCAACAACAAACATAACACCAATCATGATGATCATCATCACCATTGCTAGGTGCTGCCCACGGTGGCTGGCGTTCACTATCAGCTCTCGTTCTTCGCCCGCGCCAACGCTGCTGCACAGCTCGATGTGGTGTCGGGAACTGTCGCCTTTGCTTCGTACGTGATGCGTGACACTCCACATGTGTGCGTGTGCGTGTATGTGTGCGTGCGTGTGTGCGTGTGTGCGTGTATGTGCGTGTGTGTCTTTATTTGTCTGCTGCTCAGCCCAGTGTCTGGTTCACTTTGCCAGTTGTCCACTATCAATCGTGATCTACCGTCACGTCCTCACGTTTCTCTTCGTCATTGCCATGACACACACACATATTCACACACACACACACACGCGTATTTGCACACACACACACACTCACACGCGTATTCGCACACACACTCTCTCATACAAACACATATTCGCACACACGCACACACGTATTCGTTCACACACACACACACACTCACACACACACAACACACACACGATCGTAGCTTGGTTGACACGTTTACGCTTGAGTCGCCTCGTCTGAGCGCGAGCGCGTATTCAGACTGGGTTCCGTTTTCCTTCACGGTGGTCGCTGATGAAGACAGCGAATCGATCGTGTTCCATGCACAGGCCCAGCACTGCATTGAGGTGGGAGATCAGATGGGGAGAGGGTAGCGGGGTGAAGTGAAGTGTTTGAGAGGAGATGTAGATGGCTGTGGTGGTGGTGGTGTGGTGTGTCGTTGTCGCCATCGTCGTTGTTGTTGCTGCTGTTATTGCATTGAATGCCGATGTGTTTTCACGGGTGGAAGCGTGGACTGCGCAGTTTGTCGTTGCGTTGCTGGCTTGGCTGGTGGCTTGGTTGGTGACTGCGTGTCGATGGATGTCTTCATTTGCGTGTGCACTACAACCCCAATGCAACCCCGTCCACCAAGCACACGTCTCAACTGCCATCATGCGTCACCTTGACTGCTCATCTAGCTCGATGGCATCAGTGTTTTCCCAATTGCTCCGCGCAACCTCTCAGTCCCAGATGGTATATCCGTGCAACGACACTACTTACATGCATATGCACACCCACCCACCCACACGCACACACACACACACACACACGCACGCACACACGCACAACTTGTCTCATCGTCGTCACTAATCCCCATTTCTGCCCCCTCATATCATCACCACCACCATCGCCAACCAGCTGCCGGGTACCCCGTGTATGTGTCCACCGCGAGTGCCGTGACGTTTGCCGAGTTGGAGGATGCGTGTGCCGCTCTCAACGCGGTTCCCGCCGTCATCACCAACGACGCGGACTTTGAGGTACCGCCCTGCTGTGTCGTGCCCTGCTGAAAACAGGAGTGGGGTGATGCGCCAGCACTCACATGCACTCACGCACATGCCACGCTTGTCCCTCACACATGCCATCACCATCACCACCACCACCACGACAACGTTGGTCATGTTGCACAGGCCGCCGCTGACGCCTGCGCGTCGTTCTGTTACGTCGCGTACACACGTGCGTCCGCCAACAACGAATGGATGTGGGCTGGTGACGACGACAATACGTACACAAATTGGGCTTATGGTGACAACACGCAGGTTCGTTGCTGTCTGTGCTCTGGCTTGTGCGCTGCAAATGTGCGTTTTTGCGCTCTCGTCTGTCCTGATTTGCGCTGAAGTGCGATGGTTGAGGCCACCGAGATCCGTCATTCATTCACACACACACACACACACACCACACACACACACGCACACACACACACACACACGCCATACACACCATACACACAAAACACACACACACCATACACACAAAACACACACACACACACCATACACACAAAACACACACACACGCCATACACACCACACACATACATTGCGCCCTCAGTTTGATGTGGACGACCTGGTTGCGGCTGTTGCTGCTGGTCGAAGCGGCCTCGTTCCCGCCGGCGACGGCGACAACGCAATCGCGGGCCTCTGCACCAGATACACAGGTGCAGTGGCGGTGGTGGTTGTGCTGTTGTGGTGGTTGTGCTGTTGTGGTGGTGCGCTGTTGTGGTGGTGCTGTTGTGGCGTGGTTGTGGTGGTGTGCTGTTGTGGTGGTGCTGTTGTGGTGTTGTGGTGTTGTGCTGTTGTGGCGTGTTGTTGGATGTCTGCTTGTCATACGCATGCGTGCGTTTCCATTTGTGCGGTTGTTCTCTGTCAACCACATACACTCGCAACCTCCTCCATACGCCATCACAAGATCCACCATACACCATCACAGCAACGCGCCGTACCCCTTGCTCCAACTCACCACCATCCCATCCCGCCCAATGCATCAACTTCAGACTTCCGTGCATGGGCCGGCGTGTGGAGCGTGGTCTTCGGCTCGCGCGCGCTGACGACAGACATTGCCATCGACGGGTCTGCGCGTGTGTGCGCAATCACCAGTGGCAGCGGCGGAACGCAGGACCAGACGTGCACCAATGCGGCCATTTCGCTCGTGCGCGTGGATGGCTTCAACGACTACTACCGCATTGAGCAGACGGGCGGAACAGCAGCAGAGGCGGAGGAGCGCATTGAACTCTCAGCGGATGGCACCACCCTCACCTACCACACGTGGGTCACGTGGCCACATGTGTGTCCGTGTGTGTTTGGGTGGTGATGATGTTGTTGCTGCTGCTGTTGTTGTTGTAACAGCGGTTTCTTTTCGCTTGTAACTTGAAGTTGTGGATGGGGGCAAGGACGCGCACGCCATGAACCATCACACACACACACACACACACGCACACACAAGCATAATACACATACACACACATACACACATACACACATACTCCACATACACACACAAACACACATACATACGAACGCATACGCTCTCTCTCTCCCACACACACACACACACACACACCATGATTTCACACACACACACACACACACTCATGCATACACAATTTCACACTCACTCACACATACACGCACGCCTTATCAGGTTGAACACGACGACTGGGCGGTTTGTGGAGCACGGCGTGGGGACGCGTGTGTTGACCTGCCCAGGCACCATTGACAACTTGGATCCAAATGCGGTTGCATCATGTCCTCTAAACGTTCAACCGAGCGCCCCAACCGCCGCCTGCCGCGCCATGTGCAAGAACGGCTTCATTGCCAGCACGAACACGTCGACAAGGTTCACGTGCACCAGCAAGCAAGGATCATCCATGGAGGAAGTGGCGTTTTGGTCCGGAAACCTCGAATGTGTCAGCACATTTGAAGAAGTGCAAAACGTCACCATTCCCTTTGCCACCTCTGCCGCAACAGACATTGACAACCTGT